TATTAAGTGGTTGAATGAGTTTAGTTACAGATAAAACGAAGAAACAAAAGTTTCCTTCCCCTTTGATCTTTGATTGGCACGTGTTCAGTAAGAGCCAGCTTATGTCGTAAGCTTGAGAGCACATTGTGCGTACAGTTCTTAGACTCTATACTAGTCTCTTGAATTAATTCTGGAAGCTCTGCGAGCTTAAAGACTCTGCGAGTCTTCGTTGATGCGGAATCAGACCTAGACAGTCCTTAAATTAACAAAAACTTAGTTCCGTAGAACTAAGTGACTTCTAGAGTCGCAATTCTTCCTCTGACTAGGAGCTATGTAGCTTCGTTATACTTGGTAGCACTTGCAGTCAATATTCCATGTAGTCAAAAGGTTAGATCAAATTTTGTTGATATGGAAAGCCTAATTTCTCTATGATACATAATGTCTCACGCTTGACAAGCTACATGCATCGACTGGGGTCGAAAAATTCAACCATGTTGAGACCCAAGGCCCGCAAGTGCTCAACTCATGGCTATAGAACTTTCACGCAATTTGAGGCCACGTCAACGTGGCAGGTTCATGCATGTGGCGTCAGCTACGCCGATTCCTCATTTCCTACTTATGATGAAGAACCTGAGCCTCGACTGCTCGTTCTGAGCGTAAAGGCATTTGACGGTGTCAAGGCAAAAAATCTCCTAATTTTGATCTGAGAAGTAAAAATGGCGATGAGCACTGCTCTTCTGCAAACAAAGCAGCAAAGAGGGGACCTAGCCATTTTAAAATTTGGCGTCATAGCCATAAATCAGTCCCTATCTAGCGTTTTGTCTGTGAATGCCGCGTTCCACATGTGGAATCTAGTTTAGAGACAGTTTTTTGCATATTCGCACAGCCTAAATAGGCTTATCGAGTGCGTTCACGCTTCCTAGCCTCCCTTCAAACATAGAAGGAGTTATCGGACTATGTACAAGCGTTATTAAACTTTTGATGCTATGCAGATGGATCCCCTTTCTGAAGAAGCTTGTGTAACCGTTGTTATGGACGGTATCCGTACTAGGGTCACTCGAACCAAAGTATTTCGTGTCCATCCCGAGATGTTCAAGGAGGCTGTGGAAATAGCGTTAAACGCTGAGTTAAACTTTGTAGCGACTTGCTATGGTACGCAGGGGCATCTCCAAACTTCGTTTGATACGGATGAGCCGATGGATATCGGTCATGCGGATGATAATAAAGCAAAGCGTTAAGCTGTGAACCAGCAACGTAACAATTGTAGCTGTTTTGCTAGCAAAATTACACGGCATCGTCAACTTTATTATTCCACCACGCAAAACACGACAGATTCGTCCGAGCCGTAATGCCGCCCCAAACCAGAAACCTGGTACGGTGCGAAAATTTTTAACTCCTAGAAGGCGTGAAGCGCCCTACTAGGAGGGAACTAGGCTTGTAGAGGCTTTAGGATGTAGATATGAACAGGTCTTAGCCCCACATGACCTAGTTGAAGTTGGAAAAAGTGAACACAACTCAGGCTTGTTGGCTGCAACGGCTAATGGATTTGAAAAGACGCAATTTTTGTTTTTTTAATAATGGGGCATTGGGCAACTATCAAATGCGTCGGTGCTTTAAATTAATTCAGATGTACAATGAAGCGCTAAAAAGCGTGAAGGTGACGTACTGACGGTGCGTCTAGCCACTAAGGCACGTTTCACCGCACCTTTTTTTGATGAGCTTACATTAAAGGTTCTTAGATTTTTATTGCAATAAATGCTGTCTTGTCCTCAATTAAAAAACTTGATACTATCCCATTATTAATTCAATCTGTCTGGAACACCACGAAATATGGATTGATTGGGGGTCTGATTTCTTATGTGGAACGCGCAAAGTTTCCAGTGAAGTTTGGAGAGTCATGATCACACCATTGCTAGACAATAGTAGATTTATTTAGGGTGTCATCCTTAGATGTACATGGAGAGGCACTATAACATACACAGGGTAAGGGTGGCTGCAACAGCACCTTACTGAATGTTGTTATTCGAATTTATGGCGAGACGCCCCAGCATCAACAGCAAGGCCCCTTTAATGTATGTGTAGTGGCACGTGAACACCCACCGAAGGAGGGCAGCTGTCATATGACCACACTGAATGCTAGTAGCGACATTATTGGCGAAGAGCCTCGACATCAATAGTCTGATGTGCGTACAGTGGCGGATAACTCGCTAAATATGAGTTCGACTTACGTAACTCTGCACCGGATGTCGGTGATCACATCAGCTTTTGTCCAAAGTTGTTACATGGTCACACTTGCCATCGGCTAGATTCGTTGAAGACCTTCCGTATCTAATATGGGAGACAAGTGTGGCCTTAGATTTTTTATCAACAGAAAGTACCGATTAGTCGGTATTTTTTGAGTTACGATACTAAACGAGGAAGTTCTTCGTACCGTCAACATTTAAGTACTGAGTGACGTGCCTACCATTTAGTTACTTCAAAGAGTAATATTTTGTATTAGTTCTACTTTAGTCTAATATAGGGTATTTTAAAGTAGAATTTCCTTGATGTAAAATTTAAATAATTCAGTTCTCATTTTAAGCAGAAGTCCGCCCACCCCCCTTCGCACGTTGCGCATGACAGTTCCTTAGAACTGTGGGCTCGAGAGTCCTTAGACTCATGTATTCCCCTTTGCACATTGTGCGTGCAGTTCCTTAGATCTACAGTAGTCTGATCTAATAGCTCTTAGAGTCCGCGCTAAGTTACGTAGAACTAGCCGACTCTTTAACTTGATATATCAGCTCCATAGAACTACCCGGATGCTAGATCTCATAACTAATTGGCTATTAGCCGTGACCTCTGGCTTAACCCGTAAAGTCTTACTCTGACTCAAAGCTGTGGTAGCTCCGCCTAAAGAGTTGTCTAAGGTTAAACGACATTTCAAATTTTTCGTATCAAATGGTCCGCTATCACTGAGACGTTCAGTATCTTTTTAGAGGCGGAAGTGACGCCAATGGTGGCTACGAGACAAGTACCGTGTGAAATATCGCTTATCGATACTAGCGATTATCTTTATAAATCGAACGACGGCGTACAGGTCACGTGAATGGTGAAGTTGGTATAGCGGCTTTCCTATCGTCATTTGGTCTGTTCTAGCTCGACAAAATGTCGGTAGACAAGTCCAAAATCAGGTCTTGAAGAAATCCAACTAATGTGATGTCGTGGTCTTTACACAGTGGAATTCCTCGTATTTCGTAGGTGAGACGGACCTTAAATTACAAAGGCGTAACTGAACGCACGAAGTGGATCATCGATTTAGCATTACCCTTCAGGCTTCCATCACCCTTTATCTAAAGAACTATAGGACACAATAGATCGAATTTCACCGTCTGTACTACTTCCTGATAGGTAGGTACGTTACGAAATTGACTTGATTCCTGAAAAAGTACTGCGTTGCACGGCAGTAGACATTACGAAAAGGAAAATGTGAGGTCACTGGAGAGTGTGTTAGTCCTAAGCACGCGGCGGGAATGGTGTGTGAGAGCAAGTCTCCTCATTCCACACCAAAATTTTGTTTCGAGATGCCTAAGGGTAAGTAGAGTATTGTGCACGCCTTTAACAAGCTTTATGCGGCCACTATACCGGCACAACACCCATCTATGGAAAGGAGGTTCGTTAAAATAGCGTGCCTGGATGTACGACGTACAGTGCGCCCGACATTGGTCGATGATTATTATCAACTGCTCATGCGAGCAAGTGTTACCCGCTTGGGGATTGACTGATTATGCCCCAGATGCTTTTTATTACCCAGTTGTGCTTAATTTTATGGCGACGCAATTGTTTTTCCCTCAACGTGTGCATCAAGCACAAAATAGATTGATGACATATTTGCCCATAGTATGACAGAAAAGGGTCGTTAATCGTGGGTTATTACAGTCTTCCCTCTGCTAAGTTATCCCCGGCTATGGAATAACCTCCGGTAAGTTATAGGATTCGGTCTCCACCGACCTCGTTCTATGGTGTCTACGGAATGAGTTACACGGAATAGCCTGAGGGCCAAATACAACTTATCAGAGGAATATTTTTGTCCGCCGTGAGCAGAAATATTGTACGCAGAACCTTTTTTTTGTTATTCACTGCAAGAAAGGAGTGGAAAGAGGAGAGGGAACTACTTCAGCCAGGAATCAAGTGTGGCCTGAGTGGTGCTCGCACTACGGAGATCATCTTGGACTTGGCGAAGGGTCCGGTGAGCTATACGATGGGACTCCTGAGAAAGGTCGAGAAGGGCGATGGATAGACTAAGGCTGGCAAGCTTTTCAGCCTTCGAATGATTTTCCACCTCCTCCTCCGCCTCAGCAGCACCTTCCTCCTCACCATACGGATCCTCAGCAAGCTTGATGATTTCGGCATCGGTCAGCTCCGCATGCGCCGTCTCCTCCTCCTCAGCCGGATTGAGAAGAGAAGCGATCGACATGGGATTGCGGAGCGGGAGCCTTTCCAGCGCCGAAACAAGATCCTGTTCCACGCGCTGCTCCTCTACTGCAGCAGCTGCTGACTCCTGCTGGGCCTGCTGGCCAACAGTGCCGGCTTCGTTTTCACCCCCACCAGTCGGCAGAGCCGGACCGTCCATGAGTCTCGTATGACGGAAGCAGTTGGCGATTGTGGCACTGGAAATCTCGCTCCACGCAGCCAGCGACCAACGCATGGCCGTGAGCTGATCAACCTTGTAAAGGTTGGTTTCTCCGCGCTCGTCACGGTCCAAGGCATTCTGCAGATGCAGCCGGCGGTAGTGCCTCTTGAATGCGGCAATAATCCCAGCATCCATGGGTTGGACCTTTGAAGTCGTATTAGGAGGAAGAACCTGGACCGTGATGTTGGTGAGTTCCAGGTCAGCAACAATGTGTAAAGGAGCGTTGTCCATGAGAAGAAGGATTTTTCTATCCTTTTGCTGTGGTCAACGCGTTAGTCAAACCTCCTTTACTGTACCACAACGATGATGTTCAAGGCATGCCCCAAATTACCTTCATACTTTTGTCGACGTCTCACAGCCATTCCTGGAAGAGTATGCCAGTCATCCAGGCTTTCTTGTTGTTGCGGTAGAGAAAGACCAGTCGCTCAGCTGCCTTGCGCTCAAAACACCGCGGCTTTTTGGCGTGTCCAATGAACCCCGGCGGGAGTTTGTCGGATCCATCAGCGTTTGCCGTGAGAGCAACTGTGATGCGCGTCTAGAATAGTTGTTAGTGTCAGAGAAACGCAGGAAACAAAGAGGAGAGCAATAATGTACCTTGTCTTTTTTAAACCCTTCGACCTCTTGCTGGGCGATCGTTTTGTCGGGCGTCATACTGTAGAACAAACCTGAACAGAAAGTGAGCCTTTGAGATGCTTCTGTAATGTACAATGAGTACAGTACTGTACTGTATTCTCAGACCTACCAGTTTCGTCCATGTTGTACACGTGACGTGGCGCATAACCAGCAACCACGGCCTTGAAGTGTGGAAGAGCCTCCTCTAGAGCGCCCATATCTGCTGAGCCACTCTCGCCATGAATGCGGACAGCTCGCAGTTTGTGGCGTTGCTGGAATTTGTGGAGCCACCCATGCGAAAAGCTGATGTTTTCCTCCGAGACGCCCATTGATCCCGCAAAGGTCTGAGCCTTGGCCCGTATGAGATCTCCAGTGAGAGCGACCCCACGGTGCTGGCACTGCAAGACCCAGAAGGCGACGGCCTCCTCCACAGCTGGGTGCTGGACAGTCCGAGGACGCTTAGCGCTGAGGTCAGTGGTGTCCATTGCCTCAAGCTCCTTCCTTTTTTTTGATGATTTTGCTGATAGCTGCCTGGGAAAGTGCCTTCTGGAGGTCAAAGGCGTCCTTTGTCCAAGCCGCCAGGGCAGTCTGGGTGATGCGCGGGTTAGCATCCTGGTGCTTGCAGATGCGCAGCTTCTGCTCGTTGGTAAGACGTATCTGCGACATCTGTTGTGAGTGAGCAAGGTACAGTTGGTGAAACTTCTTAATTAGAGATAGCAAAATCACCAGAGACTGGTGGGGCAACCAAAATCACAAAACGTTCATAGGGCACGTGACACGTGACAGACAGGTTTTGGAAGCCTGGAGGTTTGTTGCGTTTTTGATTCTTTAATTAATTAAATTAATAATTTTTCCGCAGCATACCTCTGCTATGGAATAACCTCTGCTATGTTATATGATTTGCCTTCCACCAAGTCTATAACTTAGCAGAGGGAAGACTGTATATCAACCCCTTACGGGCTGTGCTTTGGTGTATGCGCAAGAGTATCCTCTACTCTAATGCATCGAAATACGTCTTTTTTTCAGAAAAGATAGTTTTTTTGAGATGTCTCATTGGCAAAAGAAGTTTTCGGGCGGATCCTGCAATAAAAAGGCCATAGTGGATTGGCCAGATCCTAAGTACCAAAAGGATCTACGCAAATAGCTTGGCCTTGCCAATTACATGCACAAGCATAGCGAAATTACGCTGATATGGCTTGGCCATTATTTAGTATCCTTAAAAAGGATTTGGGGAAGTGCTAAACCAGCACCGAAGCTGAGGCTAATGGAATCTAAAAGAGATTAATCGTCATGACCCAATTTTAACTTGGTTAGATTCTGATCGACATTTAAGTGTCATCTAGGACGCTTCGGATTTTGCCACTGGCTGTGCTCTATTACAAACCGATGATGAAGGGCGTTAGCGTGTCATCTTTTTAAAGCCCGTCAGCTTAAATCTGCTGAAAATTACAATCCATTTCACGAAAAGGAGCTACCTATATGGAAAATGATCTAGTCGAATGCAGAGTTTATATGCTTGGCTTTAAGCCTTTTTGTAGTCTTTAATGATCATGCTACATCAGGCACGGCGACCCAATCACCTAAACTATTGTAAAGGATGGCCCGTCAGCTTTTAGTCCTTGCAGAATATCAATACGAGGTGAAGTAAAAGCCGGAAGAGCAAACTACGCTGGCTAAGCTCTGTCATGACGGCCCAACTATGAGCTAGCTCAGGTCAAGATTTTGTCGTCAACTCATGACTTGGTCCGTGCACTTTATGCCAAGGATAAATGTGAAGCTTTGCGCTGTGCTTTTGGAAGAAGGAGTTTCAAGATTCAGACATTGAAGTGTTGACATGTTCGCGTTTGAGGGTGCATCGATATTCTATCGATAAATGCTTGTCGTGCTATCGCGCGGATTTTGCAAATACCCCGCAATTAAGGTTCTCCACAAAGGAAGATAAGCATCGAATACTCTTTGAGTTTCACGACACATCAATCAGCGGTAATTTTGGTCGCGAAAAGACCTTAGGCTTGTTTATCCAGAGTTGTTGGTGACCCAACTCTATAGAAGGGTAAGCACTTGTGTGCGCAGATGTAAGACGTGCCAGCAAATTAAAATCTCAGGACATGCGACTGCGCTAATGGATTGTTTGTGAAAACCCTCTGGGTGATAAGATCCCATCAGCATGCACTTTCTGTTTGGCCTACCAAAAAATTCGGATGGCAACGTAGCCATTGTGGTCTTTGTCGACCGTTTGAGCAAGATGACTCACTGAGCGGCTGTGCTGGATTGAATTCTGTGAAGGAACCGATATACTGTTCATTGATCACGTATTTTGACATCAAGGACTGCCCCTGGCAATTGTCCCTGACCACGATCCCTTTTTTTGGAAAGTTTTGTACATACATCTTCAAGGTTCTTAAACCAGATTAGACGTGTCTATAGCGGATCATCCGTAGAGCATTGGTCGAACTGAGCGTGCAAATCGCGTCCTCAGTGACGGCTTAAGCAGTGTGCGTGCGATTAGTCTCGGCGTTGGAGCTTAATGCCCCGACTGTTGAGCTCGCTATGGAACATGTAGTCCATGCAGCGACATGCTTTACTCCGTTTTACGTGAACGGCTTCACCTCCCTCACGTTCCGTAAAAGCTACCTTTATCGGGATCAGGGATTGATGGAAGAGAGGTCGCCAATAGGACTGCTGATGTCATACCTGCTACTATACAAAAACTGGCTAGCGCGTTCCTAACAACGCGATCGGACGTCTTACGACATGTGCGTAACGCAATGGCTGATAGCCAGGAATAACAACAGGAAAGACGGATGCTAAAGGCAGAAATTGTACTGAGTTTAAAAGTTCGGTGCCAAAGTCTTACTAAACTTAAGAACAAACCTACAAATGTATTGTCTGATGTGCTAAAGACTAATATGCGTCCTCGCTTCATTGTACCATTTACGGCCGTGACCAAGAATGAACGTACGTATACGCTTAACTTAACGCGGAAGTGCTTACACACACCGCGTTTAACGCTAAACTTCTTAAGATGTACCGGGATCCTCCTAGATTGATTGGTAGGAGTTTGTATTGTAGAAGTTAACTTTTCCACAGGCTGCTGCATCCAACTTACGCGTTCAAATTGAGCCTACATCTTATTCTGACTCGTTCCGAGCGCCGACAAGCGAGCTTACGCCGCGTCAAGCGTGCGCTGGGTATTCCCCAATGTCTCACGAAGACTGTTCACCTCATGAACCAAAGCATCACGGGCCGTGTCCGACACTTCGAAAACCACCGACGTTTCTTGAACAGTGAGGTAACCTCCAGTTTCATGTGTAGAAGGTACTGCAACGACGTCGCCGTCTTGGCCAACTATAATATCTGGAGAAATGGCGGGGAACAATGAGTCTGAGGACTCAAGGGAGTTCGAGATGACCCTTTAGTAAGTTGCCCGTATAACGTAGATTTTGTAAATGCCATGATCAGGATCAACTCGCAATCCTTCAAGCTTCTCCTCAGTAATGGGAGCAGCAGGCGGGTCCATGGCCAAATCCTGATTTGGAATTGCAGCTACCGGCACAAAGAAAGCGTAGCGCGATCGGAATGTCGCCCGCAACCGGCCTTTGGCATTCAATTTGGCGAAGTCATAACCAAGTTTCTTTCTCGATCGAAGCGTATCTATGCCTTTTTGGTGCTGGCTCTAAAGCCACTATGCTTTTAAGCATCGTTTTATGCACCCAGCGAATAAAAGTGTTGTCATCCTCATTGAGCAGCTCCCCTACAACCAGGAGTACGGACACACTTCTGATCTGTGTGACTAGCACACCATGACTTTGGTCTAAAAGCTTTGTCTTGCATTGACTTGAAGTCATAGCATAAGCCACAAGGTACCTATCTTGCGATACCGTGCCTGCTTTAACCTCTTTAGGTTAGTTAACTGCTAAACCAATGTTACAAGATGCCAAAGACTGACCGATCGTTTGTTAGAGAAATAATTTAGATTAGAGGGGTACACATTATGAATTTCAAGTGTCGACATGATATGAGATCTACGCTGAGCGCTCTCTCTTTGTTGTTTTACCTGCTCTTGCTCCTCGTCGAGTGGGTTCGTGATAATTAACGACTCCATACCGGGTGTTGTGTGCAGCGCTGTTAGCGTATCGGCAGCCCTGCGCCCGGGAAACAAACTAGGTGACTGTCTCGAAATAATGTGTCGCACGGTTTGTGCTGACTTTTAAGCTCTACATTGCCGCCATAGTCCAGTTCCTCCTCCTCAATGCCGAGGAGTTCAGAAAAGCCGTAGACTTGTTCGGCGTTGATATGTCTAACGCGTCTAACAACCGTGAATTTGCTGTAAGCTAATGGCCTCGATGAGGTAACGATTCGATTGACGTTATTTGATAACGTCAGTCAGGTCGGGAGGGTGCAACGGGGTCATACCACCGGTATCGCTCTAAAGGGATGTACCCTGTACATGTGATATACCATCCTAAGTGTCATCTGTGTCAATTGATGTGGTTGATAACCTCATTCATCCGTTGGTGGACAGATTGATGGTAAATCCATCATTCTTTAATATACTGAAGATTACTGTGTGAATTAGTTTAACCTTAGTATTAAGTGGTTGAATGAGTTTAGTTACAGATAAAACGAAGAAACAAAAGTTTCCTTCCCCTTTGATCTTTGATTGACACGTGTTCAGTAAGAGCCAGCTTATGTCGTAAGCTTGAGAGCACATTGTGCGTACAGTTCTTAGACTCTATACTAGTCTCTTGAATTAATTCTGGAAGCTCTGCGAGCTTAAAGACTCTGCGAGTCTTCGTTGATGCGGAATCAGACCTAGACAGTCCTTAAATTAACAAAAACTTAGTTCCGTAGAACTAAGTGACTTCTAGAGTCGCAATTCTTCCTCTGACTAGGAGCTATGTAGCTCTACTACATGCGAAGTCTCCATTTGCTCGCAGAAGTGGCCGGACAAATTGGTGAATCGGGTGCCTATCAAGGAGACAAAGCGTCAGTAGCAAGTGAACCTTTTTTATCACGAAGGACAAATCTTTTGACAATACGCTCCTTCTTGTTTGGTGAAGTGTAAAGGTAAGCAAACTCTTCACTCTTAAAGTTGTGTCGATCGTCAGTGGACCTATACGGTAGCTGATTTATTGAAGCAAGGTAATAAAAAAAATTTAATGAGGTCGTGTGCTTGTTCTAAAGCCTGCATATAGCGACGCGCGTGTGGGGTTATGTGTACGTGTGCAAACCAATACCTAAGCATTACTTTTCGCTGAGACTTGGCTTATTTTGCTCGCTGTTTGCATCAAAGAGTTACGCACGGGATTTGCATTGGTTCATACCAACACCATCAAAGTGAACGTAGATATTACCTATGACATCTTGTGCATGATTTTACGATGGAGATGAGCAACTTCGAGGGTTTTGTGGAACCGTATTCTGCTAATCTCGCCTCGAATAGCAATCGTGACTTTACAACTGCTCTACACAGCCATTTCGT